CCATCGTCAGTGAACCTGCCACGGCTTCTGGGTGTGTCCCTATCGGGATCTTCACCCCTGCGGTCCTGACCTGCTGAACCTACCTCAAATTCCTCGAAGTTATAGTCCGGCAAGTCCTCACCTGAGCGGAGACCTCCTGGGATGGTCTCCTCATCCACGACACTCCTGTGTGATCGTGGGGTCGACATAGAGCTTGTAGTTGATGGTCTCAAGCGCGTAGGAAAGCCCTACGGCTGATAACCTGTGATTCGGGCACAAGCCTGTGCCCAGGCAATGGGTAAGTTGGGGTAAACAAGCCACAAAAGAAAGGTTCCCCAAAAGCAAGCCAATCCCCGGTCCCAAAGATCAGGGTTTCCCACACACCAGAGAACAACAACCAAAACAAAGAAAAGAGTTACCCGCAACCTTGACCGACAACAGGCCGCACGAATAGTCCCTACCAACCTGACGGCGGCCCGAGGTCTCTTTCTCCCCCGAGATGTCGTCGGTCGACGCAGGGGTTCGGCGACGCCCATTCGAGGCGCGACGGAACCCGTAAATCTTGAGCCAAACATCACAGGTCGGTCACTACCGCGACGTCCCTGATGATGATATGAACCATGGCTAATCACAATATATATATATAAATATATATATATATATATATATCTATCTATCTATCTATCTATCTATCTATCTATCTATCTATCTATCTCTCTCGCGCACCTGACATAAGGACCCCCCCCCCCGCCAAGCAAGGAATCTTCATCATGGGCAAGGTCGAACCTCTCTTTTGTGAGGTCGCTCTAAATTCTGCACATGTTTGGGCCTGGATTACTTCCACTACCACAAAGGCAATGCTGCGCTGTGAGACCAACAGTTGAGGAAGGAACTCGGCAGAATGGATACCCAATAAAGAATCGCGTGACTCCCATGAAGGCTTGTCGCCAAATATATAGGGAACATCAACATGTGCGGCTTCCCCTTTAATACCTGGTTGCCTGAACTCCAAAAAGTGCACCCTCAAAAGAATGCGCCCCTTGTGCCAAAAGCCAAGGCAGGTATCGGCCGGCAATCAACACGAGCTTTATGCCCAAGCCTCTGCTGTCTTAGCAATCGCTGATGCGATGTCCTTCCTGCGGTCAGCTCAGAACATGCGTTCAGCATGGATCAACTGCCCATTCTGGGCACTTGTTTGTTCGGGCTCTTGGACACGAGCACTGGGCGAGCAAAACAAGGACGCCTGCGTGCTCTTGGCGCATCTATCCCAAATATCAGCATCTGCACCACACCGTATTTTGTCAGCCTGCATAATTATGGGATCCATGCACACAGGACCATCATATGTGGAAGAGTTCGATGTACTCCAAGGCAAGCTCGCCACGATGAGGGCTCTTCTGCATCAGACAATGACAATGGTCATGAAGCAAACTTCTCCACTTCAGCGTGCATCCAACAGGGCTGCTCGCACAATTCCAAGGACTTGTCAACATGGGAGCCGGGTACCGGTACCTGTCTGGGCTAGTTGAACATTTCCAGAACATAGTCACATGACCATGCAAACGCAAGTGGCCAAATGCACCTTAGGCAAATCAACCGCACCCTTGCACCCTTGTGGCCAATAGATCTAGGGTTCCTCCAGTTTAGTATGATGTGCTCACAAAAAATGGGGTGCCGGTCAAAGGCCAAATCGAACAGAGGAGCAAACATGGGCAATTTCCACCCTAAAACGAGCTCAAGTCTTGGAGGAGCATCCAGGCATATCCACGCTGGTGGTCCGGATCAATCCGAAGTCAGCACAGGCGTGCTTGTTGCTACACCAGTTGTGTTTTGTGTTTCTCTTTCAGCACACCAAGAAACTATAGCTTGCTTCACCTCTTTTAGTCAGTGAATTATCAAGTATCTGCGTCAACTTCTCTACCCCGAAGGCATCCAAGGGTGGTTCTAGCATGGTTGAACATCCAATCCAAAGTTCCGGAATCCCTCTTAGCAGCTTCAAACTTGGGGGCGACAGCGCGCCCTGCGCAAACGACAACTTGTTGTTTGGTGGGGAACACCTCCTCAACAACATTCGAAAATTATCTTAAACTAACAAAACAGTCCCTTCCCTCTTGTCATCCACTGATGGCAATTGCCAGCTGCGCAAACAGCTTAACTTGGTCGCCACCCGTTTAGCTTGTTGATGTTTACTTTGTTCAAGGTTCACTATACCAAGCAGCCGAAACAAAACACAAATCATCTTGGTTGAGGCTGAGGATTGTCCGGATTGCCTTTAGCAGCCATTTGTGTGTTTTCCGCGGGGAACACGTTTACACTTACACTTCACAGTGACAAAGGAGGTCAGATTCAAACCTGCAGGGATTGGGGTTGGTTTGTCAAAATTGGTGACAATTGTGCAGGTCCGCAAGGAGCAGCCGACACGAGAATAACAAACAAGCAGCAAGGGGATGGCTGTGACAAATGGTGGTCCTTTTGTGTGGTACCAAAGTGGTCAATTTCCTACTTCGCACTTTGAAGAGGACTCCCGCGCAAGGATTGCACCATTAAGAGGAAAGGCTTTCGCGTCCGCGCAAACACACACACACACACCTCTGCTGGCGGAGGACCCTTCTGACAAGGAAACGCTGTGCGAAGTTCCAAGCCCTGGGGGAACTCTGAACTGCGAGCTGCGAGCGGAAAGTCCGGAGTTTTTATGCTGTCCGCGTGTCAAATTCATTCGAGCGAATTTGGCGAAGGCGTGAAGTACCATTGGGACATTTGGGACTCACCTGTCCAAGCACCGATATCGCCTTGATCCCGAGGTTGAAACTAACCAGCTTCTGGTTCTGTGGCGACGCTGGGTTTGGCTGACCCCATTTGCCAACTTGTTCAGGCTCCAGGAGTTTAACACTAAAACTTTCAACCAGCCGCCAAAGGAAGGCAGCCCATGCAAGTTGAACAGTTGGACAGTTTGGTAGTCAAAACACACTTCCACCACTGTTGTTCCCAAATCCCAAGGCGTCCCTTTCCAAGGGGTCAATAACTGGAGGTTTCTTGCCCAAACTTGCAACCCAAAATGGGCATTGTGCCAGTTTCCCATGCTATTTGTTCGAGAACAAGAGATGATTGGAGATATTTAGGCTGCTCCGGCCAGGTTAAACAAAGCATATTCCATTGAGAGCTTTACTGTTGGTCACCAGTGAAACATACGAGTAACACATAACAACGTATCCAAAATCCACGCTAGAGAAGATGTCCAACTCGATCGCAATCTAAAACCTTCTTGCGCGCCCGAAGCTAAGCCCGGCTAGGGCGGTCCTTTTGCTGAATCCTTCGGGAGAAGTCTGGCACAGTGAGAGGAAGCCTGCACTTTAAGGCAAACACATCCATCCAGTAAGGATATCTCCGAAGGACATACCTGGGCTTCTCCAGGGGTACACCCAGGCCATACTATGTTTCGCCAAATTAGAGCAATCCCATCCAAGTTGCACGGTCGATTTATTTAGGCCCTCAAGCAATGACATTTTGAGACCCCATCCACTCAAGTCCGGGTGAGGTATGGGCTTGGAACCCTGGCCCCTCCGTATTGTGCCCAGTCCGGACCAGTAGAGTAGTAGAATAGGTGTTTCCAAAGCCAGTCTTTCCGTTGCGTATTTGTAGTCGATTGTAGTCTTCCAAGGACAACGCCAAGCCGGGCGAACCGAACTAGCTCAGCATCTATCAACTTCCGCTCCGCACGGCGCCGCCTGGCGACTGATGGCAGATTCAATCTGCATGGATCCGTATGGGTGTGTCTCACCAAAAGAACTTCCCTAACAGGGAACCTCACCCACCACAAACCAAAAGGAACGTGTGCGTTGGTTGGCGTGTTTTTGGAGGGTAGCCTTCTCACCTTGGGGTTCAAACGGAAATGAAAAGGAAAGCCACAATTTGAGCGGCCCCCCTACATTGGCACATACCCATATGGGTCTGTCTCAAAATAGGGAGCTCCGTTTGACACGGTCGGGGAAATGAAAGGGACCCAACCACCTGGCCGTCTCTAGTTTTCCGGAAACGGCCGTGACATGGGCATACACCTCAAGAAACTGTTTCTGCGAGATCAGTCGAAATCCCGTATATGCATTGAGACTCCCGGTTCTTTGTTGTTCGGTGCTTCGGATTAGTTGTCTTTAGTCATGAACTCGGGGTTCATGACACGGGGTTTTCTTTATGGGATTGGATACCGGGATCAGGACATTCGCATTTGTTCATTCAAATTTGTCCGGGAGTCTGAAGTCGAATCTAAGTCTTTTTTGCTGGCTTCGGGGGACACTGATTTCCTCTCCAACCCAACCCTGACCTTAAACAGCATTGGTAGTTTTCCTGCTGCCCTTTGTGCTTGGTTAGAGCTGGGTGTGTATTTGCGCACTTGTTTGTTTTAGCCGTCCACGGCTGAGGTTGGCGCGCATCTTGAAAGTACATCCTTTCTGGGCGTGGGAACATAACTCTGGGTTGATCCCGTGTCCATTCTTTTCAACCATAGAACCAACAAAACCCGACAGTAACTGAGTCGACCCAGAATAATCAGCACGCACACTCTTCTGCCTAGCTCCCACTCCCGACAGAGTAGGAGCAAAACATCCAATGTCTCTGGCTGCACAAATCATTCCTGGCTACACAATCCTTCCAATTGAAAATGTGGCTTTCTGGGCCTTGAGAGTGCCTCAAAGAGGCGGGTACTTGGAGAAAGATTGATTTGCTTGGACGGGAGAAGGGAGGTGGAACTCAGAAGCGTGGGTACATGACGTGGGCGGTGCTGTTTTATTTGCAGTGAGTCATACCCCCGTAAAAAAGAAGGTGCTATTTTGAGTAGGGGACGAGTTTGTGTTTACCTCCCCCGAATATTATCATGGAGCCCCGAACAAAAGCAAACCTAGCTTCTACAAGACCCTCCCTTTGAAGCACACCTCGTTTAGGCGCAATGCCAAGTGGGGCCAGCGCGGCCTCAAATGCCCGCTGCGCAATCGGCGCGCATGATTTTTCGAGCGACGCATTGGCGCAAGCTATCGCTTCAGCAAGTGGTCCAGGTACGAGTCTAGCCTCAGAAATGGGCCTCCGGGCCACCCCGGAGAATTTAAGACATCTCCTGTTTTAAGCTCTCTTTCAACTGCGACCAAGCAAGAATTGATTTCGGTGCTTGCAACCAGGTTCATTCATATGCATTGACTCAGTGACAAAGTGTAGTGTTCAACCGCCCGAATTCCGTTGAAACTTCATTCCACCAAAATAGCTTCACACTGCTTCACATTGTATTTTCAAGAATTGGGACCCTCCGCAGGTTGCCGTGTTAAGATCCTCTCGATGCATGAGTTCCCTCGTACCTACAAACGCGAACACGTATTGTGAAGGTCCCTGTATTGGGGATTGGGTCCTTTCCCCCTTGGCCTTGATTGAGGCAACGCGGGCTTCAAACCTTTTCCAGACCCGCACTTGCAATCCCCATCAAATCAGCACAGGAAACCAAACGGCGACCAAGACCAAGGGCTTTGGCCAAATTTCTTTCGACATTTGGGTTTCGCTGGTTTATATGAAATCTTGACCGATTGCATTCCTTTGAAAGCGACCCTAGCGTGGGACACATGGATCTGACCGGATTGACTTTGCACAGCGTAGGCAACACTTCTGAAAGCCCAAAAAACATGAGGAAAGGCATTCTCCGTGTCGCCGTCGCGGCCACAGCATTCGTAGATGCCCCTGTTAAAACAACATCTTTCCAAAATGAAACTCCATCAAGTTGGTCCCAAGGCCTTGTCAACACAAGAGGGCTGGGTCTGTCGCACTGGGTAGAACTATCATGAGTCAAACCGTCGAAAGTATGGTACCCGTCTTGGACGCCCTGAGAAAGGCGGCGCCCCCGCCATCTTCTTCTTGCACTGTGTCACTCGCGCTCGTCTTGGGCTTCCAGACCGGACGAGAATCAGGTCGTGCTCTGTGCGCAACGTCACCAGCCGGTAGGGCAACGAATGCTCCTGCAAACTACTTGGATCTGGACACAATACGAGAGCTTGTCCGGGGGTCAAACGAGCTCACCATGATGAAGGTCCAATACTAGGGTGGGGGGGGCCTCATTTCTAGCTTAGAACATATGTTACATGAAGTAAGAATCCCAATTAACAATGTTCTTCAAAATGAAAATCCTATTCGAGTCATCTGTTGTTAACTTTTAATGTCTATTTAAGTTCTGATTAGACAACTGAACAAATCATCATGGGAAGAAACGTCCTTTTGAATGTCAAAATTGAAATAATAATTCCAATTATCAAAAACCGTCGTTCAAACCTATGCAAATTATCATTCAAACTAGACATTCTCTTAGAATTATGTCCTCTTTAAAGCCTATTGACCATATGCCAACAAATCAACCCGTTTGAACATCTAGTTTCCATTAACAACTTTGACTCCACATCATGTTCGACAAGGAAATCCTATTTAAACTACAAGCCCTTAATTTTGCCTTTTTTGCGTTCTTAAACCTCGGCATAGAAATAGGACAGAGGTAGATCCAAGCTAATTGGATTCGCTTTCCTGGAACGGTTTGGCCAAAAGCTTTCAGATTGTCTTTGGACATGCGCCTTTTTCGCTGCTTTCCTCAAAGCCCCCAAAAGGCAGAACAGGCTGCACATACCAGTGCATTCCGAAGGAAGGTAGATCCATGGGGGGTACCATATATATATATATGATCATGAGTATGATCATGAACATTTCCTTCAACCCAGTCAACCTCGACAAATACCACAACCACAAAGCCAAAATCACCAAGAACACAAACAATGCGGGAACAACACACCTATCCCATACCTCAAGAAACATGAGGATGTGATGTCAATGGAGGTATTTTCCCAACGCCTGGCTTGCCAGAAGGTAGTTACGATTGTACAGAGCTTCTAGTTTCCTTATGATATTGGGAGTCTTAGTTTGCTAGTTATGGACCGCCTTGCAATTTCTTTCAACCCCTCCCAGGTTCTCTGAGAACCAGGAAGTCTCAACAACGCCCAACGAAGACTCCGCCGACTTTGGTCCGGGGCTCAGGACTTCACAAACTGCGCAACACGTCTTTAGACACACCTAGACAAGTTTGACTCGACGTAGCGACCCGGAAAAGTTGAGGCCCTCTCCACTTAACTTCCTCCTAATGCACACAGTCAACCCAATGAAGATCACCAAGTGCCTGCTCCGGAGTCTTCGCCGCTGGGACGAAGGGTATCACGAGTACAAATGGCAAACTGCTCCGCAATACATCTTGCTTCGCCCCGGGGTCGAGGCGCAAACAGTTGCCTGCTCAGTTGACTCGCGCCTGATGGCTTGACCTGCGCTTCTGAATCCGCTCTCCACATTTCGAGCTGTACCTTTTGAGGAATTCTTAACCAGGTGATAACATGGTTCTTTGCAGTTCTTTGGCATCGCTTCAGTTCCCACCAGGTATGCGGCAGCTCCTCCAAAAGGCGCCAGAAGCTCTCGATGGGCGAGCTCGTGCTCCTGGCTTTTTCACTGAAGGGGGAAATCATTACACGCATTGTTTTCTTAGTCTTAGTAACATTGATTGCAAAGTACACCACAAGTCCATTCTAATTACCAACTTCAGACATCCGCCTTGTTTGGGGGGTCCAAGATGGTGTGGATGGAATGGAACCGTTAAGCTAACTCCGAGTCCGTGAAAGCGGGGCCCGAACTCTCCCCGAACTCTCATAGCTCCATGCATTTCGTCACGCGTACGAAGGGAATGTGTTGGGAGGACCCTGAGCTTTTGCGAGCCTAGCCGATAGAAGAACAGGGATTTCGGTTGGTCCATTTGGCCTTATCGGATATTGACTTGGGTGTGTGTTTTCCTGAGAAGGCTTCGTCTGCGGGTGTTCACTTTGCTTTGAAAAGGGGACCTTAGACATGGCGTTGGGCAAGATGACACGCGCAAATCAAAAGGGTGGAGCGATACAGAGAAGATTGCATGGCTCCTGTAGCCGCTTTGATCTCGAAAGCAAGAAAAGGAGCTGCGCCCAACGCGGTGAAAATACGGCAAATGCTGGCAAAGGTCTTCATGAAGAAGCTCCAGGGAGGAGGTCAGTGGGCCTGGTGACATGCAAGCGCCGCATTTGGGCTAAGGGAGGCTGCTGTGCAATGGCCTGGAGGGCCTGTGGCGAACCCCCGGCTTTAACCTTCGTGAGGGAGGCTGTGGAACTCTTCAAGGCGACCTTGCGCTTGCGGTTTCCCAGGAGATGGCGGAGCTCAAGAACATGATAGGTCAGGCGCTGAAGCACAACCAAACCTTGCAGGTCGAGCTTAATGTGTGCCGGCGAGCACGTGGAGTTGGCTGTAGGGGAGTCTTTTGCGTGGCTACCCCTGGAGGCACGCAGCTGGCGCCGTGATCCAGGTTTTGGGAGGCACTATGATGCACTATGAGCTGGATAGGCGGCCACTGCAAGATTCGTCATCCGGAACAAGGGGATGTACCACACGATCGGCCAGGAGGTGATGGTCCCAAAGAGAGCCTGGAAGCAAAGGCGTTTGCCGTACAGGTCAAGGAGGGGGCAAGGTCCTTTTTGTCTCAAGGTCGTCGGTCGGCGTGCGAGAAGGGCGTGGCCTGGAGGTTCGAGGCGGAGAATCTGAGAAGCTGAGGGGGAAAACCCAGGTGGTGATGAGCTCTTGGGGGAGGCTCTTCGGGTTCGGAGGAGGCTCCGGGTCAAGACAAGATCCCCGGAGCATGGACGATGGAGGTTGCGGCTGAAGCGCCTGTTATGGCAGATCATCCTGGAGGGAGGAGGAGTGGGGGGGTGGTGTCCTGGATGGGGTCATGGTGGTCCCAGGAAGGCAATCTTCAGTGTCAAAGCCGGATCGGCATGTAAAAAGATACGACTCGCTATCTGTGGCAACTCCGTCAACGCCGATGCCGCGGTGGAGGGGGACACCCTATGCTGGGGGGACACGACAGCCATCAGGATGCATCTCAAGGTTGGGGCCGAACGTGAATGCTGCTTTCCCCAATGATGGTCAGACTTGGCTGGGCAGAACCAGATGAACTGTGGCTCAGAGGAAGCGGTCGGATCATCGTAGTGACAGGGGGATGGATACGCTTGCCATTTCATGTCATTTTCTTAAGAGGAACCCTCAGAATGATAGTCTAAAACTCGAGGGAACTACCCAAGTCTTTTCACCATGGCACGAAAAGCGGTCCTACCACAGATCGGTGGCTCCCTCCGCTCCTCACCAGCACCCCCTGCAGCCGCTTGGAGCGCAGCCACTTCAGCCCCCCAAGCAGTGCCTGGACCTCCCCCTCCCCACCCAGGAAGACGCTCACCTCAGCGAACATGCGACAAGGGTCCAGCACCAAACCTATCTCGATCCAACATCTGTTTTGGAGTTGACCCAAACCAGTCTTTTTGACCCAACACCTGTTTTGACCTCTATGTTGTTACCTTTTGGGGGGCAGAAAAAGCCAGCCCGTTTTCATTTCAAGGGGTCACATAAAATGGCCTGCCTTCTCGTGCCAGGGGCGCGAGACTATCTTGTACCAGCTGCTTTTAGGATATCGTTGTTTTATTCTTCTTTGACTTCAAAAGAGACTCTAAGTGTTGATTACCAGGTTCTGCTCTCTTTGAGAAAAACTGCCAGCACGGTTGAGGGTAAGGGCAACGCTATGCGGACTTCGCACCATGGACAAGCGTGACTCAAGGAAGTTAGCCAAAAACCGTGGCTGCAAGGACCTACACTTGGGGTAAAGGTTTTGCCGTACTTATTTACGATATTTACGCTCCATTTGGTTAGGGTGTAACTAAGACATGAGACATATTCATCTGCCATTGTCATGGCCATTACTTCATCAAGACCGACTGGGAAAATCAGATAATCACTTTGAGCGAGTGGACAGATCTTAAGGGTTGGAGGGATCCCGTGGTCCCCTAATGTTTATTGCAACGCCAGGGCCGCGTGTTAATTGTTGTTTGTCCCAGTTGCCATGTTTGCTTGGTGTCAAGGGACAATGAAAATAATGCCAACCGTGTTTCAACGGTGC